TTTTTCATGCCTTTGTAATTTAAAAAAATTTCTCACTAATTTGTGATTTACATCTTCTGCCACCACTTGCAGATGATTTCTCCAAATTTTAAGTTTGATGTCATGTTAATAACTTTTGCTTATTTGTAGATGTCAGCTAATGATGAAGTAAAATTAATATAGTTTCATATTAAATTAATATTAGTAGTAAAAGAATTAGTGATTGAATTGATTTTTTAATAATAATTTAAAAAATAAAATGAAATTTTTTCTAAAAATGAAAAATAAATAGAGAAAGACCTAAGATGTGCACCTCTTTGGGGGTGTTTGTTTCAGCTTTTCAGAGTCAACTTATGACTTTTAGTTTTGAAAAAGTTATTTTGGACTGTTTGGTTAAACTTATTTCAAACAGCTTCTGATTCTAACAGCTTATTTTAACTCAAAAAAGTTGATTCTGAGAAGCTGCTCACCCATTGCTTCTGATTATCAGCTTCTGCTGTGGACATGTTAATTTACAGTTATACTCTTAATTTTTTTATTTTTATTTTTTTAAAAATAAAAAAAACTCAAATGGACTATAGATTAGTATTATTATTTTTTATGAGAAATGTAGACAAACAAAAAATAAAAATTAATTGAAAAAACTATTTCACAGCTTATTTAACAAATACTATTCAGCAACTTAAATCTATAATCTAACAGCTACATCAAACAGATTAACAATTTCTGATTAAAGTCATAATCTATAATCTGTTAAGTTATAATCTATAAGCTGTTTAAACAGCTACACCAAACAGAGCCTTTAGATCCCCGATGACATTTGTACAGTCATGGTCAGTGGTTTCAGCAGTCGAGGTCGTTAATGGACTGTAGCACCAAACACAAAAAAGTAATATTCAAGGACACAACGGTGTCAGAAAAATGAATTACAAAAAAAATAAAAAATATAATAATTATTAATAATTATAATTATAATTATTTTTATGTGTAATTATTTTTAAAAAGTATCACTAAAAAGTAATTTTTTACAAATATGTCTAAAAAATGTTATGAATCTCAAATAATCTATCAAATATTTTACCAAATCTCTCATATAGGTGTGAAATCTACACAAACCTATATATGTGTAGCCTCACATCCATGTAAAAAATTTGGTAAAATTTTTAATAGATTATTTAATATCTCTAACATTACTCAATATACTATATACATATATCTTTCCATCTCATGCGTCTCCTTTCGTTGAAAAAGAAACCAGCCATTTGCTTATGCATTTATTTATACCAAAAATAAATACACAAGAAAAAAAAAATACATCAAAATGTAGAACATGAAAGAAAATTATCCTTTTATTTCGACTTAAAAAATAAAAAATAAAAAAGGAAAAGAAAAGATGTCATGAGTATCTGAACAAAAAGAACTTGAAAAGCACATGCCTTCATCATGTCTATGGCGCCATTCCATTGAATTGAGCCACAGTCAAGATCCTTTTAAATAAAGGGCAAATTGCATGAATCTCTTTTGAGTTAAATTATAGATGTTTTTTTAAAGTTTTAAAACTTATAAATATTCTTATGAGATTTATGTTTTCATAGTAAATTGTCTTTTGAGATTTATATTTTCATAATAATTTGTTCTCTAATTTGTTATGCAAATAGTACCTTCAGGAAATATCTGTAATTTCTCAAATTTCAAAAAAATATCTATAATTTTATTAAATCTCGAGGGATATATGTAATTTAACCTTTAATTTAAATTATTATAAGAGAATAGATAGATAACAGCAACGCCTTGTTTTGGGAACATGTTAGGCACCGTTTGGGAAGGTGGGTTGGAGGTTTTTTTGGCTATTTTAGCCACAAAAAACAAAATAGGTTATTTTAGCCATAACAAACAAAACATCACATCCAACCCATAATCATTACATTCTTCTCTCACAAAAAAACTCAAAAAAGCCAAAAAGCCAAAAGCCCTTCCCAAACCAAGCTTTTAAGCCCAGGCTAAAATAGCCAAAAAAGCCAAAAAGCCAAAAAGTCAACCCACTTCCCAAACGGAGGCTAAAAGTAGTATTTAGTTTTTTTTTGTTTTTTTTTTTTTTTTTTAGTCGCATCTTCTTTTAATATATATATATATATATATATATATTATTAAAAAATTCTATTTGGGAGAGTTTTAGGTTAAGAAGTCCTCATTCTTTTTTAATATTTTGGAAAGCCTTTTCTTTTTGGTAATATGATTCGCAAGGTCTTATTTGCTAATTTTGAAATAGATTTGGTGACCTTTTTACCCTTTCTTTATGTAACATTTTTAAAAGAATTTTTGAATTCCATTGATTACGTTTGTTTTACTATATATATTTTCAAAAATGTCTAAGATTCCCTTTTTTTCCTACCCCCTTTGACCCCCTCTCTCTCACATTGGTTGGATTTTTTTTTCTTTTTTTTCTTTTTTTTTTCACTTGTCCTCCAATCACCACCCGCCACGTATGTGTGAGGTGGTGGGGGTGGTGATTGGAAGGGGTCTCCAACACTCCTCATATATTTTTTGAAAGATCAAATATAGGTAGGATTTTGTAGGTTTCTAAGATTTATTAGTATTTGAATTTTGAAAAATGTAATTAAATGTGAAAGTGAACGTTCACCGAAGCTGCGTTGCATGTATATTATTGAACGATGTGAACGTGCGATGTGGCAGTCATATACTAATAAGACCAATTATATTTTATTTTTTTTATATAAAAGACACAAGACTTATATTAGAATTTTTTTTTTCTTTAATTGATGTATGTACCCATCTTTGACTACATACATCCCACACCCAGCAACATCACGCAATGCCACACCATAACCGCACATACATCCCACACAGAACTCACTCACCAACACATTATAACCAAACCGAACATCAACACTAACTACACCAAACCCCACATCCAGTACCCCATCAATCTAAGCAAACTGAAAACATTGATATATTACCAACACACACATCAAACCATATTCAAATAATACACCGCAAACACATATAACAATATAGATATGGATACTCACTATCGCACACCATCGTCATCCTGAAAGGGGTTGTTCACACTTTCACACAGCAACACTAGCAGAATTGTTTTATTGGGAGAGGAAAGCAAATGTTGTGTCGTCCCAAATGTGTCACACACACTTCAAATAACAGGACCACTGACCTGACACTGGGGTATGTTCCAAAACAAACGCTGATTTGGTGTGATTTTGAGGGGATTTCCTTTTTCTGAAACTGGGATACACCTCCGCTCACGTCGTGATCCACCCAACTTAAATCCTTGGAAATTCGGAAACAGATTACTACCAAATTTGCTAATGTGGTTTACTTATGTGGTCGCCACACAACCCATCGCAACTTGAATTTCTATTCAAATCGGAGGCGATGTACCCTAAAATTTGCATGTTTGAAATCAGAATGAAATTAGATGTTGATGTTTCTTTGTCGATCGTTAGACTAAATGTTGACCTACGTAAACGACAATGAGGGATGCAGGGTTTAAAGCTCTACCATGTCCTGGAATGTGTTCACCGTTCAATCGACGACGGGGATACAATGTTGCATCAACACCTTCTGGCCATCACTCATAAACTACGCCAGTGTGGTTTTCCATGACGTATTTTTTGAGTTCCAATATGAGCTTGACCCGAAGTAGATGTGGGTTGGAAGGATCTTTACATGGATATGGTATATGCTCAGTATGTGGATTGGGTGACGTGGGCAGACCCACATAACGTACCAACCCATAAAAGACTATAGTGCGGTTTTGCCCAACATGGATGCTGTAACATTCTCAATCTTGTTTATTTATCATTAAACATCATACCTTATGGGCAGAATCGTAATTCACCACAAATTGGGACTTGTGAGAGTATTATAACACATTTGGGACTAGAATGTTCACAAGTTACCCAAATGGGATTTATAGGTCAACTCCCCTTTTTTAAAAGACGAAAAAATTAATTTTTAATTTATCTCTCAAAACAAGTCAAAATAACCCGTTGGTACTATGGTGTTTTGAAAAGTTGGTAAAAAATTATTTTTTTAATTTTTTTAGTTTATTTTATCTTTTTATAGATAAAAAATGTAAGAGATAATGTGATCCAAAATAAGTAAAAAAAATTAAAAATTGTTTTTTTTTTTTTTTTGCTTTTTTTGCTTCCCAAAAGACCCCTATATTTCATCCCTTAACCCATTTATGCGATGGACTTGTTTGGGGGTGTCCAAGGCCTCGTTTAGGAAGTCAAATTTAGGGCTTTTCTTCATTATTTTAGTCATAAAAAATAAAATAAGTTTTTTAATTTAATAAAACAAAATATCACATTCAATCCATAATTATTATATTTTTTTCTCACAAAAAAATAAAATAAAAAACTAAAAAAATAAAAAGTTCTTTCCAAATGAGACTTTTTAATCTCAAGCTAAGATATCTAAAAAACCAAAAAGCCAACACACTTTCTAAATGAACCCTAAAATAGTTAAAAAAAGATCAAAAACATTATTAGAAATTATCACATTATTTTTTAAAAAATTTTTTACACATCTTTTATAAAAAATTAATTAAAATAATTCATTTTCAAACAAGACGTATATCATATTTCTATAGGTACCATCACATATTTTCACTTGTGTTAGAATAATCATATTTATTTATTAACTATAGACAATGCGTAGAGATATACTTGAAAGGACAATTATGTAAACACCAGTGTGTATTGTAGACAAGTTATAATATTTATGTAATTAATTATCACAAATATTATAATTCACATAAGATATAATTAAAAATAAATAAATAATAATTAAAATAATATTATAATCAATATTATAATTACAATAAGAGTTCGTTTGGCTAACAATTTGGGACTAAAAAAACACAAAAGACAAAATATCCCTTTTTATTCATAATTATTACACTTTTTCTCTCACAAAAGTTAAAAAAGTCCCAAAACAAAAACTAAACGAGGCTATAAAAGTCAGACTAAAAAAATTTCGAACTAAAAAAATTGACTATATTAACCAATACCAAACGCCCTAAGTCATAATCAACATTCCAACCAATCATAATAAAAAATTACAAATGTCGTAAATTTCCCTATTTCTTGGCATTTTTGTTGTATGCAACATAAGGCATTTAAATGCCAAGTCCATCAAGATTTTGAAATTGAAACGTAGGTGGGTTACCTGCCTGCTGCATTCTCAAAAATCAAAAACTAATTTAACACAACATCATTTAACAATGTACCCAAAATACATAATCATATATCTATCTGTCTCTCTCTTTCTCTTTCTCTGTGTAAAACACAAATATATTCCACCAAACTAACTAGTATTAATTAAATGAAATGAAATATGTAGTTGAAATAAATAATAAAAGAAGAGAAGCAAGAAGAGCCAAGCCTTTCTACAAAAGAGGAAGAGGAGTACTAGAAACAAAGAAGAACAACAGAGGAAGAGACCATGAAGGCATAAATAAAAATCAAGAAGCCAAAATGCAAAGCCCAGTTGCGCTTGAACTTACCGAAGTAGCTATCAGGAGGTTCTTGGTAAGGTATCTCAAACTCATCCCCTCCCACCATAACAAGAGAAGCATCACCAGCACCAGCACCAGCACCATCACCATCACCATCGAGGAGGCCGATCCGCATCTTGATCTGTCTAAGCCTCTCAGTGGCCAAGCCAAGAGTGAGCTTGTGGCACCTCCTCTGGTACTTGAAGCCATTGATGCACCTCAGGGTCTGTGCCACCGACACGTAGAATATGAGGTGGGCTAGGGAGAGGAGCCCAATTGGAACCCAGCAATGGCGGCATTGAAGCCTCGAAGAAGAAGACTGAGACTGGGCGAAGAAGAGGAGGGCGAGGAAGATGAAGAAGAACTGGAAGAGCTTCCAAAGCTCCTTCTTCTGGAGGTCCACAGCCCTTTTCTTCTCAAGGGTCTTCTCGAAATGGAGTTGGATTATGGTGTTTAGTGCTTGCAGTGCTGTTTCCTTGGGTATCATATTCTGGTGCTGGTGCTGGTGGGTCGTTTCTGTGTAGTCGGACATCATTTGATGAATTTGTTGTCGTTGTTTGTTAGGTTAGAGCTTCAGAGCTATTTGCTGCTGCTCATTCAACTTCTTTTCTTTTCTATGATGAGGGGTTTTTTGGGTGGGGTGGTGCCTAGTTGGATCAATCTATTTCTACTAGTAATAAATATGTATATATTATAGTATTATTTGGGGGTAATAAATGTATATAATTATTGTATCTAACGGCTAGGAGAAGAGATGTGTGGGCCCATGCTGTCAAAATGTCAGGAAAAATTATTAAATGATTAAAAAAATTATATGATTATACTTCTAACTAATGATAAATTATCATATTTTTTATATTTTTTAATTATTTAATATAAAATTATAAGTTTTACACTTTTAATCAATTGCACTATGCCTATGTTTGGCAAGTGGGTTTGCAGGTTTTTTTGGCTATTTTAGCCACAAAAAACAAAATAGGCTATTTTAGCCATAACAAACAAAACATCACATCCAACCCATAATCATTACATTCTTCTCTCACAAAAAAACTCAAAAAAGTCAAAAAGCCAAAAAGCCCTTCCCAAACCAAGCTTTTAAGCCCAGGCTAAAATAGTCAAAAAAGCCAAAAAGCCAAAAAGTCAACCCACTTCCCAAACGGAGGCTATGTAGAACACAACATATACTATATGTAGAATACAACATAACGCTGGTTCTGTACCGACCAATTAACTCTTCTATTTTTATTTTTTTTGGGTACATATATTAATTAGCGCATTAACTTGTATATTAACATTATTTACGACATTATTATTGATCTCACTCATTAATCAAATTACAAATATTAAAAATCTCTTATATTGTGTTTGGTTGAGGGATTTGATGAGAAATTTGGAAAGGAAAATGAAAAATGTAGGTGAAATGTGAATAAAATATACTTATATTTCACTTAATTTCACACACCTTTTTTCTTTTTCTTTTCAAATTTCTTCCCAAATCTCTTAACTAAACACAATATTAAATTATATCATATCATCAATTAATATATTAATTAATATACTAAATAGTGCATATAGTATTATTATTATTATTATTTTGTTTTTTTGAGCTCACATTAACTCCTTCTGTCGGTTTGAGAGAGGAGAGGAACAAGCTCACATGCATGCCTTTCCCCTCCTTAGATTGACTCGCCACATGTCATGGCTGGATTCGTTCGAGAACACAGATACATCTGGGGGGATCAGGACTGGGAGCAAGGATCCTCTAGAGTGATTTTTTCCTAAAGTTTCCTAGAGTGCTACATTGTGTGGTTGAGATTTACTGGCAAGTCACATCAATTTTTCTGATGTGACTTGCCAGTAAATCTCAACTACACAATGTAGCACTCTAGGAAACTTTAGGGAAATTTCACTCTAGAGGATCCTTGGTGCAGGACTGGTTTTGAATGTTTCATTTATTTATTTATTTATTTTTTACTCGGTTTTGAATGCTTGAAGCTGATTTTTTTTAAGAATTTTTTTTAAAATTCAACATTTCTAACAAAATATTTTATTTATTTATTTTCAGCATAAATCATATATCTGTTTTCATTAGGTAAAAATTTATGAAAAAAATATATTTTAGTTATTAAATTTAACGAAAAAATTTGTTACATACATACATTAAGTTTAAGACTAAAATATTATTTTTTAGTTAATTTTACTTAATAAAGAAATTTATAGTTTAGATTGAAAATAAATAAAAAATGTATGGTTTAAATTAAAAAAATTCAAAATTCAAAAAATATTTTGTTAGAAGGATCAAACTATTCCGGAAGGAATTGCTCCAAAAGTTTAGTACAAAATGATACCATTTTACACTACTATAAGAGTTTGTTTGTTTTAAGGGATTATTTTATGAAATTGGACTATTAGTCGTTTGGTTCAAATTTTTTTTTGTTCCCGATTAATAGTTCGGACTATTATTCTCTCATATGAGGGATTATTATATCCTAAGGGGAGGGGTGAGATTATTTCTATGGGATTGGTATCCCATAGGATTAATGTGCGAAATGTTCATTTTACTCTCATGCTATTACTTAACAAACAATTGAAAAATGGTAAAATAGTCTTTTGAATAGTTATAAATTATTTTTTGAGTGTTGTTAATTTAAAATTATATATTAAATAAAAAATATAAATTATAAATTTAATTTAATTGAAAATAATAAATTAAAAATTATGGCCTTATAAATTAAATTTTTTTAGTGTTGTTAAATTATAAATTACAGATTACAAATTTAAAATTATATATTAAATAAAAAATTATAAATTACAAGGGTAAAATAGTCTTTTGAACATTTCCTTATCCAGTCTTTCCAACTAAACATTAAATTCACTAAAAATAGTCCAATCCAGACATCTAATCTCATGACTAAACAAACGTAGGATACAAATCCAGTTCAACCAAATAATTCGGGAACAATGTATCCCAGAATTAACAGTCCGATAGATTACAATCCCTCTTTATCCAATCCGTCTAAACAAATACACCCTAAGAGTACTCCATATGATCCGAACACCATTTATGGAGCCTAAAATTACAGAGTTCGAATATAAAGAGTTTAGAAGGGAGTGAATAGGCTATGCAATTAAAAATTCGATTACTCAGTTCAATTTTAGTTGATTAAACAATTTAAACATATGATATATCGTGCAAAATCCACAAGGGTAAAATATCACGATTCAAATACTTAGAAAAATTCACTAAAAATCCAATAATACAAACACAAATTCGAGAGTACTTACAACTTTTACAAATTCAATGTATTAGTCTGACTCGATCAGTTTTCTTGATCTTCAGGGCACCACAAACTTCACATTCAATCTTCGTTCACGTACAACTCTAATTATCCAATCGGTCAAAAGTGTAGAACACACAATACAATAATGCAAAAGTTTTAAGAAAATGTTTGTAAGTTTTTTTAAACTAAACTCTCTAAAGAGAATATATAATTTTCTATGAAAAATCAATAGTTGAAATACCTTAAAACGTGTTCAAAAAAGTCTTTTATAGACAAAAAAGAAATTTCAAAACAAATAGAATTAGGTTTTAGAAATAAGTGGCACATTGATGGATTGCACAAGATAGACCGACCGATCACCCAAAAAGGATTGATCATATATCAATCGCAAGCTTCTGTTAAAAAATTTAATTGAAGGGATCCCTTGGCGATCGATCACTCAGTGATCGCTTGATTTTGCTTGAAAAACGATCGATTAACCAGTGAACCTATCGATCTATTGATTGCGTGTCCATGCGATCGATCGCTTGCAAGGCACGATTGATCACCTTTTAAAGAAATGACATATTTTTCAAATCAATTTAAAATAGATTTTTTAAAATATTTTAAAACTCTTTTTGTACAAATCTTTTTTAAATATGATTTAAAAATATGTATGCAATTTACCTTGATGGGTAATGAACCCAATCCTCTAAGCTTGTTGCGTGGGGCGAACTGAGCATATACATTGTTGAAAATACCCTCACACAAGTAAACCACTCATTATATCCAATTTTAAGTTCCAAAAATAATCAATATAAAATATCATATTTCAGAGCCGAACAAACATGGCCGAAGGGCTAAGGAGATAGGGAAGGATACCAAGGAGTGAGAGAAAGCTCAACAATTTATGTGAAAACAATTTTCATACTTTAAAAATATTTCTTTAAAAATGTTATATTTAAAAAAAGGGTAAATTATACTGACACCCTCCGAGATTTATGTTTATTACAGTTCTCCCTTCACATTTGGGAAATTACACTAATCCCTTGTTAATTTAATTTTATGTATGATGATTATTACGGTGAGAGGGAGAACTGTTATGAAACTTTAAACCTCACAAGGCAATCTGTAATAAAACTTTAAATCTCAGGGAGGGGATGTAATTTTCAAAAGGTAAAGAAAAAAACTGTAATAAACATAAATCTCAGAAAATGTCAATGTAATTTACCCTTAAAAAAAATGTCAAAAAGAGTTTTGCTTAAAATAAATTACCTAATAAATTTTCTACACTTGGCCTCGTTTGGGAACGGGCTAATTTAGTAACTTTTTGGCTAATTGGCTAAAAAAGTAAGTCCCCAAACTTGGGATTGGACTAATAGTCCAATAAAATTATTAATCCGATGTTTGGTTAAACAATTGAAGTACGGATAAATTATTTTAAACTTGACTATTAGTCATGGGAATACTAATCCAGTCCGCCCAAATAAACATGGCCTAAGAGTATTACTACAAACTTTAATGAGCTGGCAATAAAAAATAATAATAATAATAATAAAACATCACATCACAAGCATTTTTAGTAATTTTAACCATTTTTCGTTAAAACTCTCTTAGAATTCTAAAATTAGTGGTTTTAAACCTTTTTTATTTTTACAATTTCTGTTTAATTATTCAGGATATTTGAAAGAAAAATGAGTGAAATCACTAAAAAGAAAATTACTAATAACTCTAAAATGGCGTGGGTCATGATAAAATATTTTACTCTTATATTTTTTTTATTTTTTTTTTAATTTTTACTTCATTAATGGTCTATTAATACTTTCAAATTAATAGAATGAATCGTTATTGTATCTGAAAAGGTTTGCAAAATCAATTTTTTGGATTCTTTTTCAGATTTTATTCTTTATGTGATGTGAATAGATATAACCCGTCGTACACTCTATTCCTAATAGACTCTGCCTACTGCCTATTGCTCTGCCGATCATCTTTATAAATGTAAATTGTTTATTAGTCTAGCCTCGGTTTGAAATGTGAGTTTTTTTTAAAAAAAATTTTGGCCTTTTTAATTATTTTAAGAGTTGTTTAAAATGTCTTAAATAAGTATATTTTTTTATTTTTTAAATTAAAAAGTTGAGAAAAAAATATAATTATTTGGGTTAATTTTTTAACTTTTTATAAAAAAAATTTATTAAAAAATTATATAAATTAGTGTGTAGGAGAAAATTAGAATTGAGAGTTGTGTAGTCGTAATTTTTGACTTTTAGTGAATAGTGATAATTTTTTAACTTTTTGAATAACTTTTTAGCTTTTTAATTTTTTGACAACTTGTCAAATTTAACCTAAGTATGATATTTTAGTATTTTAATTTTATTATAATAAAAAATTAAATTAT